GATCGAACTCAGGACCTTGTCAGGCAGGTGTTTATGCCACTGAGCTATCTCCCTGGCCCCAACTTCTGTGTCTTATAACCACCTTTTCTGTTCAAATGGTAGCCCTCCTAAGGAGTCTCTTAAATTCCCCCTCTCTTCTGTGCTGTTGTACTTTGTCTATGTTTGCACCATACAACATAGTCTGTGCCATGACATATGTGGCAAACCTCTGTACTAAATTGATGGTTCCTGGAAAAAAAGATCTATTTGTAAATTAACGTCTTACCCTCCCCAGTACAATAGTCCACATCCACTGTGGTACATAAACAAGCACGTGAAAGTACATTATAAACAACCAAAGGCTGCATAAATAATAATTATTTTATCATCATTTGTTTAATGTACCTTTAGGAGTCTTGTCATTCTCTGGAAGCAATGATTTCCTATGACTGATGTGATGTCTAAAGATACTGAAACTAGATACATTTCTGGAGGAGATGGAAGGGGGAACCTCAATTTGGGAGTCTTCTCTTTCCTTCCTGGGCATGACCAACAAGGCCAACCATGTCCAGGGCCCTATGCATATTTCTCTATTCACTTCACAATAAAAATCACTGCCATTTCTGGAAAATTCTCCATCAGGAAAGATCAAAGAAGTGGCACTGTAGTAAGAAGCAGGGTCTAGGGAGCCAGCCCAGGGCTCAGGTTCTCCAGCACTTTCCTTGCATGCCAGGCCAAGCCCCTCTTTGCTGAGCCTTGGATTGCTGGCTGATATGAGTAAAACAAGCCTGGAATTTCCTGATACAGAGATTATTTCCATCTCTAGGAATTCCATAAATGTTCTCTGAAGTCTTTGGAACACTTAAATTTTAAAAGTAAACCTTCATAATGTAACATAAATATTCTAAAAGTCTATTTGTCAGCTTCTTTTTGAAAATAGCTGTAAACCCTGTTGTCATTTGTATAAAACAAGAAAGGCAAATACCACAAATTCATGCTCTTAGGTCAAAACACCTCAATCAGCCATGCAGGAATTGGCTCCATCATGTTACACACTTACTGACTTATTATTTAGGAGCTTTGGAAAGTTTAGTTTACTCAGTGCAAGGAGAAAAAAGGAAAGGGAATGAGAGAGGGAAAGGAAAGCAAATTAAAAAAAGAAAAGGAAAGGAGGGAAGATAGGGAAGGAGGAAAGAAAAGGGGAGCAAGAAAAGAAGGAAGAAAGGAAGAGATAAGGTGGTGAGGAAAGTGAAGAAAAAGGAATAAAGAAAGGAAGGGAAGCCAGGGATATAGCTGAGTGGCATAAGTGCTGTGGGAAGAAGAATGGGGAAAGGAAGGGAGAGAGGGAAGGGGAGAAGAGAAGGAGAAAGTTAGTTATTGGCTAGTCCTGGAAGCAGTACCAGTGACAGATGAGGAATAGGACAGCTCTCCCCTCTCCACGCAGCATAAGCATGTAGGCCCATCCTACCTGACATGCTGACAGTGGCTGCTGCCTTTGCAGTACTAAATTTCTCTCCATGCTTATTGGTAGCTATGCAGGTATAGAGTCCTGGCTTGGTGATAAACAGCTGCAATCTTGAGTCAATCACTCGGTCTTTCACATTCTCTTGAATGGATCCAGAAGAAACCTGATGAGGTAGGAAAAAAAGATTTAACTAGAATTAGGTCAAAGACTCCTAATATAGACTTGAAGGGAATAGTGTTAATTTTATGATCAAAAGCCATGACAGGTTTTAAAAGTAGCCCCCCAATTTTTCTCCCTTTTTTGCTGTTTTTATAATGTGTCTTTGTAGCTAATAGCTATCCCCCTGAGTAGCAGTATCTTTCCCCACACTGTGAATCTAGATCAGCTTGTGTGTGTTCTGGGGTGATTGAGTAGTGACTTGCAAAGTCTGTGCACACTGTGGCTTGCTTCTGTTTGGAACCTGGGACTTCCCATGAATGAGCCGGAGCTGGCCTGCTGCAGGATAAAGCACACATGGCCCATCTATCCCAACTGCATCCAGTGGGAGCTAACCACAACTAACAACCATGCATATGAGGCTATTCCAACGAACCAACACCCAGTGGAAATACTTTTCACAGGAGCCAAACCAGCCAACATCAGGTAATCCTGACCCAAATCAGCAAAACATTTCAGCTGATGCACAGCCTTGTACTCATTAATAAACAATTAGTTTTAATCCACTAAATGTGGGGTTGGTTTGTAATATAGCAACCCATAACTAATGCAAGAAATGAAAGTTATCCTATGTGGATCTTTCAAGATGTATCCTTTGTAATCTCAAGGCAGAGCCTGCGTAGTTTTTCAGACTTATTTTTCTAACATGTGATCATTGCTTTCTAACTGCATATCAGAAAGATAGACTACTATCAAACACAATGATTGTGACTCCAACTCCATCTCTGAGGCATGCCATAAATAATTCTGGACTACTTGCACAACAAAGCAAAATGTCCTTGAAGAACTAGAATATCAAAATTGTATCAGTCCAGAATTGGACAGGTTAATTTATATTAGTGTATGTTCATTAGTCAGTCAATATGCATAACTCCACCATAGACAACTGCCCAATACCTTCTTTAGGCTATAGAGTTAGAATTTGTATCCTAGTTGTTTCGACAAAAAACTTGTGCTTTTAATCACTGTGTTCCTTGATCAGTCCCTGTCCTAGAAATAAAGTGAGGAATCATTAGAAAACAAAAACAAATTGAGTACAGTGGCTAACACCTGTCCCAGCTACTCAGAGGCCAAGACAAGAGGATCCTAACTTTAAGCCCAGCCTGGGAAACTTAGAGAGACTTGATCTCAAAATAAAATAAAATTATACTCAGAAGGGCTATGTATATAGCTCAGTGTTACACAAAGTGCTTGCCTAGCAAGTGCTAAGGCCTTTGGCTTAATCTCCAGTACTGCAAACTAACAACACTAAATAAATAAAAAGAGGAAATAAAACAAGAACAGCAACAGTAATCAATGTAATTTGGCTTGGTCACGAGCCCGTGGCACTACTGAAAGACACTGGAAATGTTAGGTGGGACCAGTGGAAGGAAGTTGGGTAGCTGTGTCCATGAAAGGTTTGGAGGTCCCCTCCCCTCCTCTTAGACCTCCTCCACCATGTTCCCATTTCCATAATGTATCATGCCACCAGAGGACTAAAGCCATAGAACCAAGCAACCACTGACTGAACCCTCTGAAACTATGAAATGAGTTCCTCTTTCTAAGTTGATTTTCAGAAGTGTTTTGTCCCAGGATCAGTAATCTGATTTGATACAATGGCCTTGGCAAATTAAACAACCACACACAAAGTAAATATATAACAACTGTCACTAAGAGGACAGCATTTTAGAATGGCAGTTCTTCCCACACTATATTCTTGAGCACTTGTGCCATCTTTTCAATGATTTTTCCTTCATTATAACTATTTACAAGAGGGAAACATAATGCCAGTTTGCAAGAAATTTGAATGAATGACAATTAAAGCATAAGCCCATGATTTACTTTAATCTTATTTGGAAGTGCAGGTGGGGACTATGATAGTCCAAGTTTGATTGCTTGAATGTTTTTTTCTAAATAGTCCTACCCATGGGGCATGCTGAGGCAGCAACTGAGACTGGGCGTGGTGACATGCTCCTGTAATCCCAGCTCTTGGGAGGCTGAAAACAGAAGAATCACTGGGAGTCTGATCTATGTAGTGAGACCCTGTAGACCCTGTACCAAATACATAAAAATAAATAAAATAAAATATATTTAGTACAGGGTCTCACTACATCAATTTGACTTGTAGTGATCCTCCTGTTTTCAGCCTCCCAAACTCTGGGATTACAGGCATCCACCACCATGCTCAGTCTCAATTGCCATCTCATCATGCCCTGGGTGAGGGGCTGGCACCACACACTGGGGATCGAACTCTGATTGCTTGAATCTTGAAGATTCATCTGTCTAAAAGTAAGAAATAAAGCCAACAAAAAGAAATATGGAGAAAATGTTTCTACTATTTTCCCACAGGAATATTTTCATAGACCAGCCAGGAGAAGAGGAACACTGGTGTATACCAGCTTCCTCCTAGCTGCAGGTGGCTGGCTTTCCCCAGCATATTCTGCAGCAATGACACAGTGAAAGCCTGTCCAAGGTCTTGCATTTTTATTCTCTACCCTCACTTCTAGTCTCAATTCCTATGACAAAATCAATTAAGCCCCCATGTAACAGTTTACATGAACTAGGAAAGCTATCCAGGTAAAATCCAGTATTGTGGTATTTTCCCCCAGATAAGAGATTGGACTGTTTGGGAAAGTGACAAAGCAGAAAATTATCTTTTAATAGTTATAAACTAAATTGGGAAGTCCATCTGAACTTGTTATTACTTTTATCAGAAATATGTTATGGGTACCCAAATTAGATTTAAAAAGATTGAACAGCCTGAAATATAATTTTGTTCTTCCTCTGAATTTTAACAAAGCAGCAATGAGCAAAAAAGTTAGACTGGAAACTTTTATTTTTAGTCAACATACTTATGTTATTTTGAATTTTGTATGCTGTGTATAATCTCTTTCCAGTTTATGTAAGTGAAATCTGTAAGACAGCTGTTTGTTGTTGTTTTTATTTTTTCTTTGTCAAACTGGTTCTCTCCTTCAAGAAGTAGGACTATGCAATATCTTGGAAGAAACTTAGAAACAAACATCCCCCTCAATGTTGCTGCAACTTCTACTATTTTTTCATGTTCACACCTCAGAAAGTCATTCTTAAATCCCTCTTCAAGGTCAATGAAAACATTCTTCATAGGAAAGAGAAGCAATTTTTAAGCTGCCTGGCCTCTCTTCTCCTGGACTTCATCCACGTGTTGAAATAGCTCTGAGAAGAGACCAGTGAGTTACAGGGCTCGCTACTCTGCTGTGATGGGGCTCCTAAATGCATCTCCTCCTGTGTCCAGAGGCCTTGCCTGCTTCATTGGTGACTCATGCACAGCAGGCCTTGTTAGTCATGGTTTGAATTTGTTTTGCTTTCTTCATGGATCACCCTGACCAACGGTTTCGTATTTTTGATGATCTAAAAATAAAAACAATCCCCTGCCCTCCATTAGAATCCTTTTTCACTCCTCCCCCAGGTTTAAAAGATCAAAAGGATGAGTTCAGATTATTACTGTGAGCTTTTCCTCACATTAATAAGGTATGGTTAAGAAATAGAGGATGGTTGGCCATTCATACCCATAAGTTCTGTATCTGTGGATTTAATCAACCATGGATGAAAAATATTTTTAAAAATTATACTCATACTGAATATTTATAGACCTTTTTTGTTATTGTGTAACAGTTATTTACACAAAATTTAAATTGTCTTCCAAGTAATCTAGGGGTGATTTAAGGTATACAGGAGGATGGACATGGGTTACTTGAAAGAACTACATCATTTTATGGGACAGACTTGAGCATCCAAAGATGTCGCAGTATCCATAAGGGTCCTAGAAACAATACCCACATTTCTGAGGGATGACGACACGTAGCTGAAGTGACTGTATGAGGTATTTACAATAAATATGTTATTTACTCCAAGTCACTCAGGCATACTGATCAGAAGGAACCAAAAAATTAGCTCTGTGCTTCTAGGTATGGTGTTCTCCCTTCCTGTATTACATCTGGCTTTTATTTACTTATTTATTTATTTATCGTATTTGTAGGGAAGGGTCTACAGGGTGTTCAGGGTCTCACTACTAGATGGGACTTGTAGTGATCCACCTGTTTATAGCCTCTCAAGAGCTGGGCTTATAGGCGTGTGCCACCACCACACCCATTCTTAATTGCTGTCTCAGCGTGCCCTGGGAGGTGGGGCCAGCACAGTAGGCTGGGGGATGGGACCCCAGACCCCTGACCTGCTTGCAGGCGCTTTAATCTGCTGAGCTATTTGGTTGGCCCCAGTTCTGGCTTTTAAATGGATGGATATTGTGTTAGTTGATACATTGTGTCAACTTGGCTGAATCAACTGGGCAGCTCTCAGCGTGCAGGCCTAGCCCTGCAGGTGGGCAGGGCCCAGGAATTTAGAAAGGCTTCCTCCGTCCTGCCCCTCTTCCTTTGAGAAGTCTTAGTCTTTTGGAGGAGCTTGATCTTTGTAGCTGTGCCACTTTGTTGTTATTTTTTTTAAATAATAACAAAAATAGCTTTATTGACATACCAAAAAACTATACATATGTAAAATGAAAAATCTGGTAAGTCTTGACATGTATATAGCTATGAAACCATCAACCACAATCAAGATTACTATATTCACCATCCCATTCTTTCATTCAGTGTAATTATTTTGAGATTCATTCATGCTATGGTAAAACCTAAAAAAGATTTCCTTTTTTATTGATGGACCTTTGGATTGATTCCAGTGTTTGCATATTACAATAAAGTTGCTATGAACATTGATATAGCGTATATCTTTCTTTGGACATTTGATTTTTCTTTTAATAAATACCAAGAGGTAGGATGGCTGGATTTTATAGTGTGCATATGTTCAAATTTGCAAAAAACTGTCAAATTGTTTTTCAAATTCATTGTACCATTTCACATTTCTTTTTCAAAAAATTTATTTTTTAATGTATTTGATACAGGGTCTCACATTTCAGCTCAGACTTATAGTGATTCTCCT